CAATTGTCTGATGGGTGGAAAATCAGCTGATGGATTGAAGAGTGAGGTCAAGAAGGTTAAAAGAACATTCGAAAATGCAATTGCAACTGATGGATCCTCAGGGAAATTTTTTAATCAATTTATCAAAGATCTTAAAGTCAAAATCACAACATATGTGGTCTTGATACATCATCACAACTACCATGAGGATCAATCAATCTCTGGCCAAGCTTATGCTGCATTCAACAACATGGAATCAATTTATTTAAATTAGAAGCTTGGTAACAACAAGCTTAGATCACACTAAATTGGATTTTCTCCTATTCCTAAAGCTCTTTTAAGTTGTTAATCTTTATCTCAAAATTATTTTGGTTTTCATCATAAATTTCTTTTAATAATGTTTCACCTCTCATTATTGTTTTTTGTGAGTGGAAATAGTATAATTAGTTGCCATTTTATGAGTTACACATTGTAAACTTCATGAAAGAGATGGGCATCATTGGCTTCTTTAGTTTCTGGATTACTTGCATTAGTTTTTTACTTTTTGTTTTCTTGTAAGAGATGGGTTCCTAAAAACGGTTAATGCATAATGCATCATGCAATGCAGGTACTGATTAGGAGAAAGCTCTTCTCTCTTCCCAGCTGGCCTTTTACATTATATAGTGGCAATCACTCAATCACAATCTTTCTTTTTCACATTAGTGAAAGTAGCAAATAGTTTTGGACACGCATGTGCCTTGAAAATCGGTCAAAGTAACACTAAAGAATATACAACCAACACACACAAACAAGTAAAAACAACAAAATTAAAGGTCCTGTTTGGTACGCATTTTTTTTTTTTTTTTTTTTCTTATCAGGTACTGTAACAATGAACAATAAAAAACTTGTTTCGTAAAAACTATTTTGTTTTGTACAGTGTTGAAACGTTTTGTGAATAATAGCCAAAAATCAAAACACCAAGTTGATGTTTTTATATGTTTATGCATTGTAATGTTTGGTACTGTAGCGATGAACAATAATTTTTTTTTTTTTTGAAAAACTCTTAAATGATATTTTAAAACTCATTAACTATTATATTTTCAAACTTGCAACACTTTTTTATTAAACATGTTTTCATGTGTTTGTTTTCAAATATCTTGCAATAAATGAATGTTACCAAACATATGTTCGATTAGTATTCAAAATACTTATTTTATTTTAAGTTAAAACAATACGTGCAAAACAAAACGCATACCAAACATTCCCAAAGACTATACACTTGGTTAGGTTTAAGTTTTGATCGACGTTCCTTGCAAACAATTTATTGGATCACATTAACGGATAAAAGTCTAATATTTTCTTGATCCATGTGGAGACGGAAATTTGCACTATATTTCGGAATTAGTCGGGGCAAAGTCCCAGATACCTCACGGACCAAAAAAAAAAAAATGGTCAACACTAATTTTGGAGGGTGTTTTTGAAAAGGAGAGAGAGAGAGAGGAAGTGTAGGTATCTCATTCTTTTTGGATTAATTTTCAATACACAATATCGATCTCTATCAACACTAAAGAAGTCAAAGGCATTCCATCCTGACCCATATATGAAAATCCGACCGTCTGATTAAAAATTAGATTTCAACATCACTTCCAGATCACTCAAAAACCTTTGGGAAGGCTCGTTCCCATGTGTAGTTGAAATTAAGCTCAGTATCAAAGTCGTATTTTCAAAAGGCACAACTGGGTATTCACACCCCTTGGATGTTCTTACACCGAAGTTTGGGCAGTACTCAAAAACCAACTTCCTTCCGTTCTAGCAAGACCACATCCTACTCCTCTAAAGTTTTATGCTAGCTATCAAGGTACCAACATAACCCCTCTCATTTATCTAAATTTGAGACGAGCTGCATGACTTGTTTATTAAATAGGTTACATAGTCTTTTCAAGGGTTTATTTGTATGCATGATAATTTAGAAGATATTGCGGTGCAAAATGACTTGTGTCATCATCATTTAGAGCTTTCCTTCTTTTCTAGTCATGACCTCGAACCATCTTCTAGGTTACTAATGATATTTTCTTTTTGAACTTCCTTTTCCTTTACGATTGAAGTTTGGCTTTCATATTTTCCATAGCAATGCATGCCTGATTCATATATATTGTGTCTTGTGTACGAACATCTATTATGCACATGAATCAACTCGCATAGTAAAAAAATTAAAATAAAAATGTTACGTATGTTGCAAAATTAAATAGATGACACAAAAAAGAGATCAAACACACAATAACAAAAACACACAGATTTTATTCGGTTCACCCAAAATTTAGGGCTACGCCCAAGGGTTGTACAGGTTTTACTATAATCGAGTAATAACCCCCGTTTTTTATTGTCATGTGGATTAACGGATTTCTCACAGTTCCAATTTTATGGTAAGAGACTATGATCCAACTACTCGATACAACAATCTATTAGATTGTGTCATTTAGCATCGCGATGCAATCATATCACATCTCAACTGGGCATATATGTATATTTATAAGCTTTCACAATTTTAGACTCCACGTTACTCATCAACGTGGAAGGTTTCAAAATTTATATGCTACTAACCAATAAGAGTTAAACGCGTGAAAATAAGTAAGGTCAATATAATTATGCAAGTTTTGGTTTATTAAGTCACCTAATGCATGAATTTGCCCTCATTTTCAAAGAGTTAAATTTAACTATCACAATTTGAATCGATCATAGTGACCCATTGGCCGTGGTATCCCAAGTGACTAAAAACTCCAAATGCTCGAATACCTATACTTTGTAATAACCCAATCAATCAAAATTCTATATTGCCCGTTTATAATAAGAAATTAGAAATTTTCAGGGGTAGCATACTAGCATATTCCATGTACTTATCGTGTACCCCAATACCTGTTCCCTGATTGAAGGAGTCATGTGCACTAAACCACCTCGATGGCATGTATCCAAACAGTGTAATTTTAATGCACGACAGTGTAAACCGACCTCCAAATATATGGGAATCATGATATGATAAACAAATGGTTATATTGTACGGCATTAAAATTTAAAATTTGGCGGAGAGTGAAAGAAAGGAAATGAACCCTTGTTCACATATGCTAGGACACATATGCTCGTCGCATCCACGTATACAAGATGCTAATGAAAAATAGAATAAACAAAAGTAATCATTTTCTAATTATTTTGAACAACATTCAAACTTTGGAATTTTTTTATTTTTTATTTTTGAAAGGTACCAACTTTGGAATGTCCAAATCTATATCACAAATTTTTTATTAAAACATTTAAATAATAAGCCACTTGTTTAGAATTTTAGAAAATATTTTAATTAGGAGTGTAAATAAAATGAAGGGTTAAATGCAAAAAATTCCCCTGAACTATTGGGGTTTTGCAAGAAACCCCTCTAAACTATTATTTTGTTGCAATTCACCCCATCAGGTCACCAGAAAAGGCAAAAGACAATTCCACCCTTACAATGAACTAGGACAGTGCTACACTTGTAGCCAAACAGAGGTACTGGGCCTTAATAATATATATATATATATATATGGTATATAATATATGTCTCTGCAAACCCAGAAGGGGAAAGTACTGCAGCCACGGGGACGACGATGAGGAACGGCGGTGAGCTCGGCTGGTTCATCTCTTCATTCGCGAACTGGTGGGTCTCTTCAGCTCTCCGATGCAAGTCATCTAAAACTTGTGGTAACCGGAGTTAATCACTGAAGGTTCTGGGTCTGTTTCAAACGCAATCTTAAGGTTCCTTGAAGCTTTTCCGATAAAGGTCGCTGAAGCTTTTCTGATTGATTGAATGTTGATGCTCTTCAGGTTTGGTCGCCGTCTATATGGAGGTATCAGTTGGGTCTTCAATGGAACTCTAGTTCAGTTCATACAGCTTCAATTCGGAGCTCGCCGGCTTCAATGGACGCTGCTGCTCGGAGCTCGCCGAAATGGATGGGTCGTTGTATCTCTGCACATGGCTTCATCTTCGGTTGGGCCGGTGATACTCAGAGCTTCCCACCGATGGCCATAGAGTTTGAAGCCGGGTATGGAAAAATCAATATCTGGCAGTGGTTTGTTTATTGGAGGGTTGGAGCTGTTGCAATCTGATATGGGTATGATTGTGGGTGTAGGAACAAAACAAACCCAGTATAAATAATTTATAAAAAAAATAAAAAAAATAAAAAAAAAACCTCTGCAACTTTGTTGTTTTAAACAAACCCAGTACATATTGTTAGAAAGATTTCAAAAAATTTAACTTTTTAAGTATTTGATTGGACTGGTATAGCCCATTTAGTCGATCAGCAGATTCATCACAATAGAAAAAAAAATTTATAAGCTTTAATGGAGAAATTGAATTGGTTATAATACACCATTAGAATATATATATATATAATATCAATGAACTGTAACCCAACAGCTAATTGGAACTTTAATCCTTTAGATGATATGGAGGTCACTTTGACTCAAATCATGTAGTGTAAAAACACAATGTTGATGAGTCCTTGTAAACCCAGTTCTCAAATTGAGGGTTTGAAAACTGTATGCTCTCTTGTTTCCTCCTTAAATTCGTAGTGCAGGCATCACAGGGAAAGAAACTTACTACCATCTTGCGGTTGGGTTTGATGAAGAAGATAAACAGTGTTTGTAACTCTCTCTCTCTCTCTGTGTGTATAATATATATGTAGCGATGAGGGTATGTCTGGGTAATTGGGTGTAACAGTAAACTAAGGGTGTGTTTGGGTGTAATGTTCATAATAAGGGGTAATACAGTCTTTTTATGCTCATAAGGGCATTATGGCCATTAAGTATATATTGTGTGAACACGTGACTGCATGTGATGGTTTTAACGGTGAAATTCAACCGGCCGGTCGCCGGATGGAGCTATCTGCAACAAATATTATATAGTTCAGGGGGTTTTTTGGAAATTTTGAAGTTTAGGGGGTTTGTTGCTGATTGGCCAATAGTTCAGAGGGGCTTTTTACATTTAACCCTAAAACGAATGATAAGCTGATATATTATAGACTCTTTACTTTTCTCTCACACACGGTCACACACATGGGAGAGAGAAAAATGGAGGACACCCAGCAAAAGCCTCATGCCATTGTGATGGCATACCCTCTTCAAGGACATGTAAGCCCAGCCGTTGATTTGGCCATGAAGCTTGCATCAAAGGGCTTCACCATCACCTTCATCAACACCCAATCAATCGACTACCAGATAACCAAAGGGCGCCAACCACGCGCAGCCGGAAATGACATATTCGCCGGAGCACGTGAATCTGGTCTCGACATACGTTACGCCACCGTCAGCGACGGTTTTCCGGTGGGGTTGGACTTCAACTTGGAGCAGTTTGTGGAGTCTCAGCTCCATCTCATAGGGGGGTATGTGGATGAACTGGTTGGAAAGATAGTCCGGACGGCGGATCCACCGGTGTCTTGCTTGGTCGGCGACACGTTCCATGCGTGGACTTCCACGATTGCCAAAAAGTATGAGCTGGTTAATGTTTCTTTCTGGACTCAACCTGCTTTGGTATTCAATCTCTACTATCACTTGGACCTTCTAAAGATAAATGGTCATTTTGCTTCTAGCTGTGAGTTACCTCTCTCTCACACACACATCAAAATTTACTCCATCCACCACCAAAGTTTCTCTTCTCGAGTCAAAATCAGATTTCTTTTGTTCAGTACTCCTGTGAGTGAAGTTGACCACTTTCAAATGGTGAAATTTACCATTATATATATATAACTGAAAATTTTTACTTATTTATATCCGTTTATTTACGAAAGAAATTTCACCATTGAAGTGATGAAATTCATCACTGCACCAAACAACAAGAAATCGTTGTGGAGAGAATTCGTGTCCTTCTTTTCCCCCATTTTATCTCTATTTCTCAATTTTAATATATATATATATATATATATATATATATTGTGCTAATTAATATAGAGGAAAGTAAATATATTTAGGAAATAATAAAAATTGTTAGAGGGAGAAAATTAGAGATTCAAGTGCATGTTTTGTGTTGCGTGTAAGTTCTAATATTTTTTTTTTTTCTTCTTCTTTTCTGTTGAGAAAACTACTGAAAAGAGTGATACTTCACAAAAATTAAATGATGTTTGGCAACATTGTACATCTTTTTGTCTATCAATTTTTTTTTTTTTCTTTTCTTAAAAATCGATGACCATATATTCATGAAAATTATCTTTTTGTCTATCAATTTTTTTTTTCTTTTCTTAAAAATTGATGACCATATATTCACGAAAATTAATTATATTTAGTAGCATTGTATTTGTTGAACTATAGGTAATCGCAAGGATACAATAGATTATATACCTGGGATAAAGGCTATTGAGCCAAGAGACTTGACGTCATATCTGCAAGAGACCGACGTAACAACTTGGGCCCACGAGATTGTCTACAAGGCCTTTGATAACGTCATGGGAGCAGATTTTATCCTCCACAACACCGTGCAAGAGCTGGAATCTGAAACAATCTCAGCCCTACATCAAAAGAAGCCCTCTTTCGCAATTGGGCCCGTTTTCCCTTCTGGCTTCACCAAGAGCATTGTCACCACGAGCCTCTGGTCTGAGTCAGACTGCACCCAATGGCTTGACACTAAGCCCTCTAGTTCAGTTTTGTATGTCTCTTTCGGCAGCTTGGCCCAACTTAGTGAAGACAACATAATGGAGATTGCCCATGGGCTTTGGCTCAGTGGAGTGAGTTTTATTTGGGTGCTTCGCCGGGACATGGTAAGTTACGAGGAGACATATTCCTTACCCGTTGGATTTGAAGATGGTGTTAAGGATAGAGGGTTGATCGTGACGTGGTGCTCTCAGATTGGAGTTATCTCGCATCCCTCGGTGGGAGGGTTTGTAACTCATTGTGGTTGGAATTCAGTGTTGGAGGGTATATGGTGTTCTCTTCCATTGCTTTGTTTTCCTTTCTTTGCTGATCAAACCACTAATCGAAAATTAGTGGTGGATGATTGGAAGATAGGAATCAATCTATGTGATGAGAAGTCAATCACTAGGGAAGAAGTTGCGGACAAGATCAACCGTCTGATGAGTGGAAAATCAGGTGATGAATTGAGATGTGAGACCAAGAAGGTTAAAAGAACATTGGAAAATGCAATTGCGACCGATGGATCATCGGAGAAAAATTTTAATCAGTTCATCAAAGATCTTGAAGTCAAAATTCACAAAGCAAAGGGTCTTGCAGCTGCATCCTCACAACCCCATGAGGATATATCAAACATTGATCAATAAATTTGGTCGATTTTTATTATTATCTTAAATAAATTTGGTCAATTTTTATTTCTTCTCTTCTTCCTGTGACGAAGTTCTTCTGTTTACCCATATTCAATCTGAAATTTTATTTTTAAAAATTTTAGCTACTTTGAAGACCAAATAAATGAGTGCCCTTGTTCTTGTCACATTGACCATGTGACAAGTAAAAAATATTTCTATTATTCTATGTAGTTTTAATTAGCTTGTGTGGAACGAGAATTTTCTATTAATTACTTCAAAAATATTAAACTTCAAACAACTCATTTGTAAATAAAACTTAAAAAATAATAATAATAAATAAAAAATCAGAGGAATCAAATGAAACCTGACCTGAATGTGACCTAACTTAGCCCCATGGTACTCTAGCAAAGGTGGGACGGGTCTGTGATGTATATATATCATGTTCAGTCTTTATTGGTCTTAGTCAATTAACAGGCCATCACCATCCTGTTTTTGTTACTCATCCTTTTCTGTCTAGTATACATGGAAGTTTCAGTACCACACGTCAAAAAAATGTGACTTCACAGTTCCATATGAAGTAATGTGAAGTTTATCCTATAATAGATTAAATTAGATGAATACATATTATTGTGTGAGCTAAGTTATATATACTTAATTCCCATTCGAAAAAGAAGAAGTTATATCTACCTCTTCATATAGCAATCTCTCTCCCTCTCACACACGCACAACAGAGATTTAATGGCTGAAAGTCACCAAAAGCCTCATGCCATAATGATCCCATACCCTCTCCAAGGTCATGTAATCCCCTTCGTCCATTTGGCCATGAAGCTTGCATTAAAGGGCTTCACTATCACCTTCATCAACACCGAATCAATCCACCACCAAATATCCACAGCCCAACCATTTGATAACCCTACCAGAGATGATATCTTCGCCGGGGCAAGAAAATCCGGTGTTGACATACGTTATGCCACCGTGAGCAAGGGAGGAATTAGTAATGGGCTAACATGGGTTATAGCCCAGGTCCAATTTAAAAAAAAAAATATAGTACTATTATTCTTATAAGCCCATGTATTACTATTCCTCTTCCTATCAACCCAGCCCAATCCATAGTATTTCTATAAATAAAAAGAGTTATAAAATTTACAAAGGCTAAGCCTTAAATATGAGCAAACTAGCCCACGAACCATGGACAGGCCCAATTACAAAATAAACCATAATAAAACATAACAGGCCAGCCCAGTAAATCAATCACATTATTAGTCTAAGAAGACCTAAACTCTTCGTGCAAGACGCTAAGGCATAGGTGGATGAATATCATGGATTATTATTATTAATCCAGTGAAATATTGAATTTTATTTTATTTTTATTTTTTTATAAAAAAGGGTTTTGCTGATGACTTGATGATTTCTTGTTAAATTGGATAATTTACTATATGATGGATTAATAACTAGTCAGGGGCGGAGCACATAGGTCTTACTTTCTAATGTGAATTTATTGATAAGGAACATATATATCTTGCATTTTTGTAGACGTTTATTTTAATGTTTGTATAAAGCAGACTTCAGTAGATTCTTGACTGTGAAAATACGTTAGAGTTTGGAAGTGTAAATATGTTAGAAGGGTGTTGATTATTGGGTTTAATTGAATGACTGATGCATGAGAATTCTGTATTTAGAACATAGATGACACACTAAAAAATTATTGGTTTAATTATTTTTAGCCCTCCCTACTTTGCAATCCTAGCTCCGCCCCTGACCGTGAGTGGTGGTCTTCCACTAGGGTCTGACCGCTCACTCAACTATGACCAGTTCATGGAGTGTATTCTTCATGTCTTCTCAGCCCATGTCGATGAACTCGTCGAAAAAATAATCTGTTCTGATGATCCACCGGTTACTTTGCTAGTCGAGGACACCTTTTATGTGTGGCCGTCAACCACAGCCAACAAGTATAACCTTGTCAATGTTTCATTCTGGACTGAACCAGCTCTGGTTTTTACATTGTTTTATCATTTGGAGTTGCTAAGAAACCATGGTCATTTTGCTTGTCATGGTACATACTTAAACGTCCCCCCGCCCCCCCCCCCCCCCCCCCCTCTCTCTCTCTCTATATATATATATATATTATGTACATATATATATAAATGTTTTTTTTTTTGGGTCAGTAACTTTCATTGAAAATATTGTCGGAACTTAATTGAGCAGTGAGTACTGTATATTTTATGTCATTCTTTACTCACCTAAATGAAGTCAGATACAATTTTATATATTCATACACATTATTATTCAATAAATATATATAAGCATGTCTAGATATATGGTTGCAAATTTGCAATTGATTCACGCGTGTGTAATTAATGAGATTAAAAATTGTCCTTGTTATTAGATAATCGTGATAATACAATTGATTATATACCTAGTCCAGTCTATCGAACCGACGGACCTGATGTCATTCCTTCAAGCAACGAATGTATCAACAGTGGTGCACCGGATAATCTACTAGGCATTCGAGGACATGAAGAAGGCTGATATTATTATCTTTGACACAGTGCAAGAGCTTGAATCTTAACCAATTTCAGCCCTACATCAAAAACAGCCCACTTTTGCAATTGGGCCCATTTTCCCTTCTGGCTTCACCAAGAGCATTGTCGCCATGAGCCTCTGGTCCGAGTCGGACTACACCCAATGGCTCAACACTAAACCAACTAGATCAGTTTTGTACGCTTCTTTTGGTAGCTTGGCCCATGTTAGTCAAGATGACTTGATGAAGATAGCTAACGGGCTTTGGCTCAGTGGAGTGAGTTTTATTTGGGTGCTTCGACAGGACATTGTAGACTCTGGAAAGGCCTATTCTCTACCCATTGGATTTGAAGATGGTATCAAAGATAGAGGGTTGATCGTAACGTGGTGCACTCAGATTCCTATGATCTCGCATCCATCGGTGAGAGGGTTTTTAACTCATTGTGGTTGGAATTCAGTACTGGAGCTAGGGTATATGGTGTTCTCTTCCTTTACTTTGTTTCCCTTACTTCTCTGATCAAATCTCTAATCTAAAATTAGTGGTTGATGATTGGAAGACAGGAATCAATCTATGTGATGAGAAATCAATTACTATGAAAGAAGTTGCAGAGAAGATCTACCGTATGATGAGTGAAAAATCAGCTAATGGATTGAGGAGCGAGGTCAAGAAGGTTAAAAGAAATGCAATTGCAACAGATGGATCCTCGGAGAAAAATTTTAATCAGTTTATCAAAGATCTTGAAGTCAAAATTCACAAAAGACGTGGTCTTGCTACATCATCACAACTACCATGAGGATCAATCAATATCTAGCCAAGCTTATGCTGTATTCAACAACATGGAATCAATTTCTTTAAATTAGAAGCTTGATCACAACATACTTCGATCACACTAAATTGGAATTTCTCCTATTCATAAAGCTCTTTTAAGTTGTTAATCTTTATCCCAAAATTATTCTTGTTTACATCATAAATTTCTATTAATAATGTTTCACCTCTCATTTTCATTACTAAGTGAGTGAGACTATTCTATTGTTTTATGTGAGTGGAAATAATACAATTAGTTGCCATTTTATCAGCTATACATAGTAAAACTTCGTGAAAGAGATGGGCTTCTTTAGTTTATGGATTACTTCCATTAGTTTTTTTCTTTTTGTTTTCTTGTAAGTGATGGGTTCCTAAAAATGGCTAATGCATGATGTATCATGCAATGCAAGTACCAATTAGGAGAAAACTCTTCTCTCTTTCTAGCGGGCCTTTTACATTATATTGTGGCAATCACGTACTAATTCACAATATTTTTTTTCAAATTAGTGAGAGTAACAAATAGTTTTGGACACACATATGCCGTGAAAATCGGTGAAAGTAAATACTAAAAGATTTTGTGGGCTGTATGGTTGGATGTGTATTTGTGGGCTGTGTGGTGTAACATCGGGTCTTTTACTGGTGGAACGGATTGATGCTAAATTTTTGCCGATCTTTCCTTTTAATCCGGTATTGCTACAATTTTCTTTGTTTTCTGGAATGTTCTCACGTTCTTTCTGTGTTTTTTTGCTTCCAGTTTGCACTGCTTGCCTGCCTTCTCCTTCTCACTCCATCAGTCCCCTCCCTTTGGCTTTCCATGGTGGATCGATCGACTGTTTGTGCAGCCCCCAAACCCATGTTTTTAGTGACTGGATGTTCAGTTGATAATTGTAGTAAAACAGAATAAAAGAAAAAGATACTTTAATTTCTGAAATGAAACTTTTTATTTCTTTTCTTCATATCTTCGACACAATATATAGGACTGTGTATATAGCTTTGTGGGTACATGAATTCACTAGATACATGAATACTTCAGATACATATTAATTAAGATTTTTAGTCTTTCAAAGAAAATGAACCTAATATATGGCCTTCAATCTTCCAAAGACAATAAACCTTTCCAAACTCAATATTCAGAAATTTCTAGAATTTGGTTTAGTGTCCCAACAATGCCTCCCGTAAACCAAATTTACTTTTGACTCCCAATCTTGTAACATTTCTATTTGAATAAAATTCCACCAAGAGTCTTTTTGTTTGGTGACAGATTACCAACTCCCATGTGCCATTCTTTTGAATGGCTTTGATTTCTTCATTCATTACTTTCTTCCACTTTTCTTCTTTACAATTCATAAGGGATTGGATCTCCCCCACAAACATTATATTGAGCCTTGTAGCCGTTACAAACATCAAATTTCCAATGTTTTCAAATGCAAAAATCTTCTTTGCAATCTCCTTTGATGTGCAAGCTTTGTATCTTGTCTTCTTCATGTTTCTAGTATTTTTCTTCACCTTACCTTGAAACTGATTTCCAATGTTGCTCTTGAAATTCACTTGAAAATTTCCACACTTCTTGAATTTACTTTTGACTTGCTTATAATGGCAGATTCAAGGGTGGGCTTGAGGCGGCCCCCCAAAAAAAAAAAAAAAAAATCAGTATAGGTATATTTAGCCCAATGTTTTAAAAAAGAAAAAATTAGTAATAGTATTAGCCCCCTAATTTTAACCCATTCAAAAAAGCCCAATATCTAA